AACATATATAAGCAACATAATGGTTTTCCAGAAAAAAAAAACACTGCCGAGTAGTATTATTACACATAAAACTCTGAGGTAAAAAAAATCACAGATTTCACTGTTTTTCTAAGAAGCCAAATTATACTTACATACTATGTAGTACATTCTTTGTGGGAGAGGCTGAGATAAGGCCTGGAGAAAAGTTTTTGGTGAGTACCTAACAGGGTCCTGCCCTTCCAATGCCTGTGCAGAAACTATTGAGATGATTGAATCAGTCTCAGGAAGGACAAGAGGAAAAGAACGTTGAAACAGGAGAGCTTTAGATTGGATATAAGAAAAACATGGACAGCTAAAGAAATTGCCTAGGTATGTTATGCAACCTCTATCTCTGGAGGTTTTCAAAACATAGCTGAATAAAACCCTGAATAACCCATTATGATCTCATAGTCGAACCCCATTTTGCACAGAAGTGTGGATTAGAGACCTTTCGAGGTTGCTTTTGAACTGAATTTTCCTTTCATATTAAGAGCCTATAATATTAAACTACTAAAGCAGAGAACTGAACACAGAAAGTATTTTCTAAAACAATAAACACATAAAAGAATTATATTTTTCTTAAACTTCATAATCTATAATATTTTTCTAAGGTTGCTCTACATAAATATGAATTTTAAGGACATGACAGATTATAATTTTTCTGCTTATGAACATTTTTATCCTTCTCTTAACAGGAAGTCTTGTAATAGAGCAGCTAACATAGAATGGCTGAAATTCCCCAAATCCTGTTTTTCCAAAGCAGTTAATCCTTCAGTAATATATTCCAAATAACATCTAATGGAATTTATGAGGGAAAGAAAGCTGGTTTAATTCTTCTCCAACTATAACAGTTCATCTTAGTCAAGATACAACCTCTCCTTGACTTGCCTGTATCCTCAGACCATTATGGACATGCACACACCACCACTAGCGTAACTTGTTTCTCTTGAGTTCAAAGACTGTTACAATCTACTGAAACACCACAGGTTCAGTTTCAGGTTTTCTGTTTGGTTACTTTAATAAAATATAAGGACATATTTCATTAATCACACACTAGCTTAGATTTACATCTGGCATTTGTTATTGCACACCACAAAAGCAAGTAATTTTTTAATTTTAATTAATTTATTTTTTTTCTTTTGGTATTCTTGAAAGTACCTTTCTATCTAAGGGGAATTCCAGTTCTCCAGAAGAGGGAAATTTTGTAGTTGAAGGAATAAAAAAAAAGAGTTGGCAGGATTGAATAATTCAAAAACCCTCTCTCCTAATTAGACAACACATACTGTCGTCTTAACCTTGTTAAAATTTGGACTTTGCTTTGTGGAGTGTAGGCTAAACAAGGTAGGGTTGCATAAACAGAGTAGATGTTATAGCCTGCAACATCCAGAACATTGGCTGCATGCCCTGTGGTAAGACTGCCTCAGAAGTCTGACTGTAAGAAGCTGGGGAAAAAAAAAAATGAGGACAGGTGATCTCTTTTCTTTTTTTCCAACATAAGAACATCTGTGCTGGATCAAATCAGTATTTCTGCTTCAGACTGCAGGTAGACACAGGAACAGACCATAAGAGATAGGTCAGTTCTAAAGTAGACAATCCCTTTATTTACTCTCCTGCGTGGCAATCAGAGCTTTGACTCAATTGTTGCTTTCAGATCACTGCATTTAGAAGCCAGCAAAGGGATTTTGAACCCATTTAATGCTTCTGGATACAAAATGGTCCTGTGGCAATAAATTATTATCTATTTTCTGTATACATAAGACATATGTAATGTATATGTAATATTGCGTGTCTAAAGAATTCAAAAGAATTTGGAGAATCATACATGAAGTCAATTGCCATTGGAGAATGAATCTATTCTCTAAGAAACTTACTTACTCAATGATAAAATATATTGTAACTAACTGTTTCGGCAACACTGATATGATGGAGAGATCCAAATGCTAAACCAGGTTGTTTCATAGTGTCAGAAGCAAAAGTCTGCATTTTGTGAGTTGCCTGCAAACACATCACTTTTTTTCAGCTCTTTCTGGTATTTTCAGCTTAATATGAAAAATAAAGTTTCTTTTGATATATATATCATAATATGCAAATGCAAGAGGGCAACTTCTGCTGTGTGGTATGTACTGAATAGTGGAGTGCACGTGGGGCATCCACTTAACCTCCCACCTTATCTTGGGAGTCTTAAGATGACGGAGACCCCAGACAGCTGTACTAGCTGACATTTGAAAACAGTCTTGACACTGTTCAGTTTTACAGATTTACCTGCACCCAGTTCAGATTCAGATATTTCTTCACATTTTTTTCTTAACAACAGAAATAGATAACTGAACGAAAAGAAAAAATAACTCACCTTTCTTGCAAAGCACTTTAATATATAATGACAAAATGTTGCACATAAGAACCTGACATTATATTCATTATTTCATTAAGTTATTATAACAACATCTGTACTGGATATATAATCAAGGTTTTTGATTTTTTTTTTTTTTTTTTTTTTGTACCAACCATTTCTTCTGCATGTATAATTACACAATGGTTATCTCAGTCTAACTTAGATCTAATTATGTAAATAAGCATACATGCCCTCCAACTGCTTTTTGTATACTAGGAACCATGCCATTACTTGCTCGTATTCATGGTGTTGCCTCAAAGTTTCTTTATGTGCAAGTTTAAAAATAAAGATCTCAAAAACTTTGATCTTTTCTGAACATATTTTTACTGTCTTAAATGTGAATTACTGGCTTGTCAAAAATGATGAAGCCAGGAAGAATACTACAAATGCTACAGAAGTTGTGTTAGAATTCTGAACTGTAATTCAAACACTTTCTGAAATTTTATAAAAAATGAGATGAAACAATGAAGAGATGCACATATTTGTTTTAGTTTGATGGACAAGTAGCTGGCATGTTAAAACAAAGGTCAAAACAAAGCGATAACATTTTCTCATGTAAAAATCGCAACAAACTAGACAGTTCCTATGTTCACCTCTTACACAGACGACTAACTATATTTTCTCTCTCTGTGTGAGGTTGTTTTTTCTTTTTCCTGTTAAGTTCTTAGCAGTGTAATCATGTGTATTTTTTTTTCCCTCTGGCACTCCCAGATGAAGGGAGAATCCCACAAAAAGCTCCCAACAAATGATTCTTTCAAAAATTTATTTCTTAGGAATTTTTAGCCATAGTGAAATAAAAAAAATTGAACAAATATTTCAACCAATTCTAACTACTGAATGTAAAACACAACAACATAACAGTCACAGAATCACAGAACTGTAGCGGTTGGAATCTTTTAACTAAAGATAATAGAGACCAATAGATGTTTTACTTCTAAAAGTCACTCTGCTTGTATGACAACAAAATCACAGATGCAGTTGGATGGTACTTCTGGAGACAGTGTAATTGAATAACCTGCACAAACTAGGGTTGACTGTAGGAGGTTGCGTATATTTCTAGTAATTGCAAGGGTTGAGACTCCAAAACTTCTCCAGGCTACCAGTTCAAGTATCCAACTATCCTCACAGGAAAATTGTCTTTACTTCCTTATGCTTAGATGGAATTTCCTGTATTCTTGTATTCTATTTTGTGCCTATTGCCTCTTTTTCTTTCAGTGGGCTGACTCTGCCTTTCATTACTACCTTCCATCAAGTATGTACACACATAGGTAAGATCCTCCATGAAACTACCATTCTCCAGGCTGAACAATCCCAGTTCTCAACTTCTCCTCCCACCAGAGATGGCCATTCACTAGACTCACTCCAGCATGCTCATATTCTTCTTGTTCTGGGGAGTCCAGCTGTATCTTACCAGTGCCAAGTACAGAGGAAGGATTGCCACTCACCACCTGCTGGGGACACTTTTTCTGGACGCAGTCCAGGATATTGCTGGTCTCCTGTGTTGTAAGGATACATTGCTGGCTCACTGTTAACTTGTATCTATCAGAACCTTCTCTGCAGAGCTGCTTTTCAGCCTACTGCCCCCCCTCTTGTGTTGGTATCTGAAGTTGCTCCTCTGCATGTTAAGGCATTCACATATTGCTTTACAAAAACTGAATTATTATATTTATTATATTAAAAACTGAGAATTATGTCCATTCCTACTCAGTGGTAGCAATATACATTAAGAGCTCTGAAAAAATGAAATAGAATAATTCTTCTAGAATAATTTTCAATCACTGTCTGAAAAGGAAAATGATATCAGAAACGTTTTCCAAGAATAAAAGAAAATGCCAGAAGCAGTTAGAGGAGTACTAGCACCCTTATAGCTATGAAATTCTATGTCCTCTAACAGTTTTAAAATTACTTATTAGAAAAATAATTACATACTGTAAATAATTACAATCGTTCACAAGGAGTAATAAAATGAGAAAAAAGAAATTTTATCAGGGTAAACCCAATGAAGACTGACAAACATGACTTCTAATTTAATAAAAGTCTGCAACAAACTACTGTACAACAGATCTCAAAAAAATTCTGGACCTGACTCTTCTGCCTGATTTCAATTTACTTAGGATTTGTCCCATAAATTGGCAAGGAATTGAGCTCAAACTCAAAACAAAAAAATATGTCAAGCAAAGTTTCAGATTGCCCATTCAAGTGTATAACAAAAAATTAAGTGCTCACTAAACCGTAGTATCTTGTTCAGATGGAACACAAAGAATAGTAAGAAAATGAATTACCTCTTGCTTTGTCTGACACATGGAACAGTATCCTGCACATTAGAATATCTGCATACTTACTCAGATTGAATGGCTGGTCAGTATTTCCACTAACATGTCATAATTTTCTCCTCCTTCTACAAATACATCTATGGCTTGGTTCATTCAAAGTATTAAAGTATTTGATATTTTATCTAACTGCGTGTGGCCTTGAAGATTCTGGTATGACACAAACCGACAAATAAGAGCAAATTCATTGCCTAAATCACATAAGATTTGATATGGGTTTGTAAAATGACAGTTGCTCTTTATTTGGATATAGTCCAAAACAAAGTTATCAAATGTTTCATTAAGATTATCGATTTGTCCTCCTTAGTCTCAAAACCAACATGAAAAAAAAAAACCTCAAAACACAAACATTTGGCACTGCTGAGCCCTTTCAGGATTCCACACAGGAGTGATTTGTAGTGAAGACTATGAAAAATGACATTCTTGTAGATAGATGGAGATTCATTTCTTTCTATACTCCCAGACTTTTTCTTCAGACTGTACAATTTCCAGCTGCCTCAGGGACTGAATGATGAAGTATGCGATCCTTCTCAGTCATTTTCAGTGTATATACACAACACAATGTTTATGATGCTTTCATGGTGTTTAGAAGGTCATAAACTATCAACAGCCACAGTGAAATTCTGCAGTAAAAATAATTCATAACAGAACAAACCTTTTAAAGGATACTCAGTTATAAATTAGATGGAAACAGTAAGACTTACATTGTAGTATACTTTCTGTAATCTCGTTTGGTGTTAAATTTATTTTAATTAGTTATTTCCTTAGTAAGGCAAGAGCTTTCTTTTGAAGAAGCATTCCTTTACTAAGGTTTCCTTGAGTTTAATGAATGCTAAGGCACAGTAAGGAAGAAATTATTCTTAACCTGGCAAAGGTTTTACAGAGGTTTATAGCATTTTCAAACCAAATAATTTTTTTTTTTTTTTTTTTTTAAATGAAGCATTTGGTGGCCGAACAGTATATTATGCATTTTTTAAAAATTAAAGGTGTTATATAATTCACAATTGACAAAATCCAACAGTTAATCAAATACATAATTAATGGAACTTATTATTGCCTAATTGCAGATTATTGTTTTATTGTAATGAATTACAATATAGTGAAAAATGACATGACTACTTGACTCAAGCTGGCCAGTGTGATATTCTATAAATTACAATGTCATGCTGAAGAACAAATCTGGGAAAATCTGGGGATGGGGTCTGGGGGGAGAGGGGAGGGAGGTACTGTTGCTGCTGCTCAGGGATTGGTAGGGCATTCGTTGGTGGGTAGTGAACAGTTGCACTGTACATCACTTATGCTGTATATTTATATAACTGTTCTTTTTTTCCCCTTCTTTTTCTGTCCTATTAAACTGTCTTTATCTCTACTTTTTTTATGATTCTCTCCTCCATCCCATTGTAGGAAAGCAAGTGAATGATTGTGGGGCATTTATCTGTCTGCTGGGCTAAACCACAACAAATAAAGATGAGCCTCTTGACTTACACTACTAAAAGAAAGAAAAAATATTACTTCACCCTGAATAGAAAAGATGGGAAGCTCCTTTGTACAATAAGCTTGTATCAGGAATATGGCATAAGACTTCCTTGTAATCTTTTTCAGTAAGACTTGAAGGTTAATATTCTGCTTATTTCGAAAAAAAAAAAACCACCAACAAAAACAACAAACAACAACAACAAAATGCTAACATCTTAGCTCACAGATTTAAATTAACAGCAATTTAATCTAGAAATTTCCAGGGTTCCTTTGTAGAATATGTAGGGAATAGTTACTCTTTATAGAGTACTACTTTTATAGAAATTGTAGTGCTCTCTGACCTAATCTGAGATCTGATTTCCTCCAAAAACCACCAAACCAGGCTAGGCAATGCATACAGTAATTATTTTTTTGCACAGATTTTGCTGTGAGAAAGAGGCAGAAAGAAGTAGAGAAACTGAGACAAGATGACAAACAATCATGAGTTGCAGCCTATAAAGGCAATGAAAGCACAGATCTGGAAAATAGTTTCATAATACAAATTCTAGCCGAGGGCAGATGGAACTGCAATCAAAAGGACTACTCTTCATATTTTTATAATCCTACATCTGAAGAAACAAGACTTTGTATAATTTTCGGCAAATGAAAAGGGTGATGTAAACCCATCATCAGTTACCCTTCTTTATCTGGAAAAATGTTCATGCCTTCATCTTTACCTAGCCAGTTGAGACGAGAGAGATAACATTAGTGACAAATGTAACGGGAAGAGAGAACATGACAATACAATTCTGAAACATGGTTCAACTCTTCAGGCTGGGAAGCTTTGAAAATGAGGACTTTTCAAATGATCCATAAGTCTGAAGTCAATTTTCAGATGGCAACTAGCTGGCAGAGCAAATCAACAGTCCATAGTACATCTCAGTTCTGTCCTCAGCTGTTCTTTTGAGGACCATCATAAACGTATAGATTAACAAGTATGCATTTCTTTCCATTTCTATTCAGTTTTTTTGTAATTCAGGCCCACTTATTAATACAACATGTGGATACTGAAATTAATTGCTTATCTTGGAACATAGTGCTTTGTCACAGAGTAGAATCTTTACAAAAATATTTTTACTTCTCAAACACAAGAATTAGCTTTTCTACACTGTGGCTTTAATACAAGATGATCAGAAATCATATCAGTTCTCTTGATCATCTCTCTTCTTCCAATACCTGCTTGAATTTGTTTTGTTGTCAGAACAACAATTTAACCTAAAAAGAGAGACCTTCACATCTAGTAGTAGTGAAGGTAGACTCTGGAGATTTTCTTCAGGCTAATTATAATCTGAGAAGTAGACTGAACTCTCTTTGATTTTGATGCCCAAAGGGACTTCTATTCACTTTTTCGGCATACAAGAAGCTTGTATTCTATTTGCGTTCCAAGCATAAAAATGATTAACTGAATCGGCAGTACACAGCTTATAAATAATAACTGAAACTATTGAGAAAGATCTAAAATTAACTCAATATGATAAAATTTAAGGTGGACATTAAAATATTTCTGCACTGACCTCCATTCTGAGGATTTATATGAAACAATTGGAAGACTAGATTGAAGGCATTCATGTACGGAGATCAAAGAGCAGATAAATTACTTCTGACTTATTGCTCTATTCCCTCTTATTCCTTTGGATATTTTACTAATGGTTTATCTTTTTGAAAAATCAAGCAAGTACTTTTGTTCCTCTGGGCATAATTATAACAAGGATATTTATAATCAGTAGATTATAGTCACTTCTACTGGCTATAGGGAAAGAATAGTAATATCCAAGTTGAACCAAATGAAAATATCACTCCTTCAGGTCACGTGGCAGTGGCCTGTGATCGCATGTAAAAGGTTCTGTATTCAGCCTCAGAAGACAAAACCACAACAAAAAATAAAAATTGAAACATATTCCAAGTCCTGAATTGGCAAATCTGAATCTAACTAATATTTTCATAATCTTACTACTGTTAGTTTTATTTCCTTTCTATCCTCATATTAATCTTTTTTTTCTGCACTTTCATTGAATTATGATTATTATTTATTCTTTAAGGCAAAAGTAATCTATTGTACCTCTATGGAAATTGCATTATTGGTCTAAGTGTGATTACTGAACTCCTAATATTTTACTTCTTCCAATACTCTATAAGTTCAAAATAGAGGCTCCTCTACTTTTTTAGGCTATGGTCTTTTGAGGCAAAGAAAAAAATGGTACTTTGATTTAGAATGATTTGATTTGGAATGAGGCTCTAGAGTGTGTTTCTCTAGCATTATCTTGAATATTAATAGGCAGAAGAAAACTCCTGGCTAGAAGTATACTCACTATCATCCCACCTTCTAATGAATTCACTGAAACAGAACGCTTGTGTGGTTCTGTTCGCAGTGCTCATTTCCGTAGAAAATAATTGACTTATTAAAAAGAGCTGTTCACCCCAAGATGGTAAAGGATAATCCTGTAGCTTTCATTGCATCAGATAATGTTTGTTTTAACTGCTGATGATCAGCTTTATCACATGCAATGGAAAATGTCAGGTCAAAAGAAAAAGAGGAGCTGACATACCAATAAGCACACCAGTAACTTTAGGGTGACCTTAAGAGACCTCACATTTGTTGGAATCATGTTTTTATTACTTTCAACCTATGCAAAATAAGAGCAATGTAAAATATTTTCTTTATGCTGTTCCAGTTAGTAATGCCAGTTGCAACTTTTCAATTTTTAAGCTCAAGCTCATAAACTCTAGAGTTCTTCACAATAAAAATTAAAATGTTTCATGAAGCTAAAATAGTTGCACGGCTTTAGCAGCTAAATTTGGTTGAAAGGAAATTGTCTTTGCATTATAATTTTTCAGAATTATTATTATTATTATTTTTTCTTTTATAACATGTTCAATGTGCAAGTCAGTATTGTAACGTCCTGTATTCTTTGTTGGAAAATGGAGAGATGTAACCTTCACTGAGTTAATTTGCTTGAAGAATTTGTGAATTTTTCTCTGCCTTATCTTGCTGAGGTTTAATATTTACTATAGATTAGCCAAAAAATATAATTACGTAATAATACTTACACTATCATTAGAGTTCAAGAAAGAAAATTGTATATATGCCTTAATATTTACCAAAATATTTTCTAAATAATACAATCTAGTTTTGTTAAATCTGAAATAATGCAGCTATAATACAGAGAAATTACATTCTGAACAAGATATTTCTATATACAAATCAATTATTCAGAGAAAACATTAGCTCTTTAATTAATTTAATTTTAGAGAATTGAAAATGACTAGTTTTCCTACTTTTCCACACTAGAGAAAAGGAACAAAGGAACTCAAGAGTAAAAATTGGTGAATTTTCCATCCAATGCTTTTTTTTTTGTAGCCTTTCCATAAGTGAAATATTTAGAAAAAGAAATATTTTATGCATCTGTGTTTTTCTTTTTTAAATCTTTCTATATGTATATATTATGTTTTTATATATACATATATATTAATATAAATATTTAAAATTGTCATAGAAATTTCTGTGAGTACAAGTTACACTAGACGAAAGTATAAACAAATTGGAGTTACAGATATGATGTGATTTGTACCTTTTCTATAGGAAAGCTGACTCTTCTAGTGATTTGGAACAGCCAAATAACATATACAATATTTACACACATATGTTCCTTTAGCCTGACCTTTATATTTCAGAAAAGAATTGAATTTCACACTGAAATGTTATTGCTTCAGAAAGCTCAATAAACTTTTTGACTACATCACTTACCTTAGAGAGACATGGATAAATTGTAGATATGGAAGGAATAACGTAAACTATTTGACCTTACATAAAAGCAGTTCTCATTTTCATACACTGGAACTTGAAAAAAGAAATCCACTCCTTCTCAGCATTTATTTTGCTTTTTCTTATCATATAGATACTTGAGAAAATTAAGCATTTGAAAATGTGTCATCCATAGCAGGAAAAAAAAAAAAAGCAATTTTTCTTGCAGTAGAACAGAAAGATGTTATAGGATAGATTGTATTTGATAAAAAAAGTCATGTCTTCATTTCAAGGAAAAGCAACAGTGCATGACTCAAATATTTGTGTAGAAGCATCAGTTCATCTTGCCTTATATAAGTATCATGGAGCTGCAAGCATTTGAAGTACAAGAAGTTAGGTTGTTCTCTACCCAGGAAACATTCATAATACAACTGATGTGAAAGGAAATAAAATATCAGGTAAGGATGAAAATTAATACAAAGATTTAACATTTTCACAATGACTTACTATGTGATGACAATAAAGCTTCCAGCGATCTTCCACAGATTTGCAGAATGTGGAGCAAAAGATGAAATGCTTTGAAATTATAACGATCTTCTCAGACAGATCGTTATCAAGTGGATAGTTTAAAACAGAAGAGAAAAGAAAAAGAAAAAAGATCAGAAGAAAATACATTATAATTCATTTTGTAAGGCACCACACTCATATTGTAAGTACCTTGAAGTGCTTTACAAAGTGATGATTTAAACACTTTAGCATGGCAACCATAATAAAAGGAGTAGCTATTATTTCCCAGCATTTCAAACAGGTCCCAGAAAGCCTTTTGATTTTTAAAACTAGTTTTTAGGCTATATTGTTTGTACCTAGGAGTCATTGTACTTGGAATGTTGCAGGTGCAAATAACTGAAGAAAAATAAAACACCACAAAAAAAAACCATGCAACCCAACTTACATCACTTTTAAGAACTGTTTATACAAGATGTTGGCCTTACAAATTTGCAAATCCATAAACTTAGCCTTGGACTGAAACGGTTTAATTTTTGCATTATTTATTTTTATTTAGAAAAGGTGATGAAATATTAAAGTTAAGATTCTGGGGGTTTTCAGTAATGCGGAAGGATCATATAAGTGGGAAGATGGAGTCTTAAAATTTAACTTGAAATGATCGTAGACTGAGGAAACACTGGAGGAAGATCAGCGGCTTCATCTCTGGTCTGTGCTGTAAAATTATGCTCAAATAAAATCTGGAAGAGTCTGTATTAGTCACTGAAAGGATACTGTGTTTCTCACTTAGGGTTTGATTGATTACCATTATAAAGTACACTTTATAAGAAATATATGCATAAATTTATCCAGTTTCCAATGCTGAGAATCTAGAAATAGCTAAGGCTTTGATAAAGCTTTTGGAAAAAAGAAGTTCTTTTACCCTACAAGCAATCTTGAATTTGAACCTAGTAATGTTCCCATAGATATTAAAGAAACAAAACAAACCAAGTAGGAGGAGTAAAAAAAAAAAGAGAAGACAGTTTACAGTTACACAAACTAAAACTTTTCTTGGTCTTAGAAAAAAGAAAAATCAATATGGCCTCTAGATAAGCTTTCTGAAAAGAGAATTAAGCAGAACTTTATTTTGAGCATCAGATAAACACTCAGACACTTAGAGTAGGAAGACCCAGTGTGTTATTAGCCTGAACTACTGTTGTAACTTACCACGTTTTTCATTAGACCTCTTAATAAATTTCTAACTGATCAGCAGGTTACCTCTACGTAGGATGGGCTTATTAAACATTTCAAATATTTTCTCCATTTTTTCTTCTAAACAATGTATATTCTTAATTGTAGGTGCATGCCCACAGAAAATAATCATGTGAATAGTCTAAGTCAGGACTTCCTGCAAAATATTTTCCTGAGAATTACAGTAAAATTCATCTAGCAGTAGCAGCTTCTGTCCTGAATACTGCCTTAGAAAGATCCACTCAAAAGCTTGCAGAGTTTTTGTACGAGTTTGAAATAGACACTGTAGCAAAATTTTTTAACGCCTGAAGCAGGTTAAATAAGCAGAGACAATTTATGCTAATTTCATAATTATTTTGAATTAATCAGTAATCAGATTATGAATATGCAAATAATGCATGAGCACAAAATGGGATTTTAAATAATGCTGGCAGTTGTTTTTTTTAATTAAAAAAGAAAGTGAAAACAGATGTATTTCTATAGAATATGCTTATTATTTATATTTACAAGATTAATTCCAGCATTAAAATTAAGAAGTGTCTTGGAAGAATGTATAGCTAATATCTCAGAGAATGAGCCACAAGCATACGAAGATAGGATCCTCAGGTTTTAGAAGTACTGCTTCTTGAACACATACAAATCTTATCTCAAGATGTACTTTTAAAAAACAAAAAAATCATTTCTGTAGGATTTATATACTCACCACTATAGTTTTTATGATTACAGGAAAATGTTTAATGAAGTTGTTCTTACATATAGTATCTTAAGCTTTATAACTTAAGCATTTCATATTCTTGCAAAATGCTATTACTGCTATGTACACTTTTACTCTTATTAAATATAAGCAATGATAATCTTCTTTTAGTGAAATGAATCTACCTTGAATTAAATTGCACAGCAGTTATCTAGGACTTCAGCATATGAAAGTAGAAACTGAAGAGAGTACAGTAAATTTAAGGTGATTGAGCAGGAAAAGGTAGAAAAACACTAGGATACATAATGGAGAAAAGGGAGCACAGTAAGGAGGAAAAAATATATAGATTTTCCCACAGAGACATAATTTCTTTTATCACTATCTCTATTATCAGTGATTTTTTTTTTCATTTTTCTTCTCTAGTGTTAAAAGTCATCTCAGAAGTGTCATAAAATTGGATAACTCTGGAGACTAAGGTGTGCTGAAAAAGATGTATGTTATTATGAATACCAGGATGGTATGGATATGGAACTGCACGCTAACTCTTCATAGCTCAGTAGAAGTAAAAAAAATGATTTCTGTATATATTCTCACTTAAAGCATTCACTACAATATACATTAATACTAAACTGTGTAATGCTTTAGAACAATACAATGACATATTTTGCACTGAGTGTTTTGGGTTTCCTTCAAAAAACACAGAATTAAGAATCCAGTGACATTTACTGAGATACAATATAGAAAACACAAAATTATAGCACTAGCCTCTGAGATCATCTATTGCACTAAAATTATAACTTGTGCCACAAAGCTGCGTTGTGCTTTGTGCCATCCTATTCTGTGGAGGAATTAGAGTAAAACCTCTGGTTCTCAGAATAAACAGAGATTAAAACTTGAAAAACCTTTTCACCACCACCTAATACCTCCCTAGGTGTGAAGATAGACCCAAAAGGTTTACTAATTCACGATGGGTACATGGCCTAACTCCTACCAGGAATTTGACTATGTTTCTGTTTCTTCTAATAGCACTAGCTGGTGACTTCAGATGGTGCCATGGCTGGGCATGCCTCACACTTGCCTTCTGGCTTATGCAGCCAAGCAGTAAAAATCTGTGAGGAGCAAACCATATAGGGAAGGAACTGTAGAGAGCAGCCCCAGGATTTGACTTCAGCACTGGTAGTGATGTCATCATCTAGAGAAATAGTTTCCCTTCTTTGTCAGCTGGGAAGAACAAGATGGAATCAAATAACTATTGTGATGCAGGTGACAGAGATCTATTGAAATGAGTTAGTTGCTATTACTGTGACAGCAAAGGGCTGTTCAGGAAATTTTCTTATGTTATGCCCATAGTATAAACTGCTAAAAATCCTGGGCAATCAAGCTTCATTGCTCTTTCAATTTTTTATCCTTTAGGCAGCATTAATTTTAAGACCATTTATAATGCAATTCTTATGCTATTTCTGGGAAGATGACAAAGCTATTCTGAGTGTTTTTTGTTTCATTATTCTCTGAAAGCAGCAATGTAGAAAAGAAGGTGAATACTGATATTCTTATGTGTTACAGAGCAACTATCCTCTAACTTGCATATTTAAGTCTTAATTTTAATGCTACTGAAGACAGAAATAAAATACATTTTCATATTGTGCTTGAAACCTGAAAGTGATTGTTGGGAGCAACAAGAAATTTTGGAGAAAAAGGGCTATTATAATCTTTATGGCAGATTCCTACTAAACTAAATATGTTTTCTCCAAACCACCCTCAGAACACAAACCTTTGTGTTAGTAAATGGCATAATTTAACTAATTTTTACAGAGGGATATGTATTTCTATTGATTGGAGGTTCCACTTATCTTTGTAACATATTTCTAAATCTTAAATGACTTGTGAAAACAGACAAACTTTTCCAGCAGACTTTACAACTTATACCAGAATTTCTCCTCTACACCATTTCCATAATTTTATGTTTTTATCTTTATTATTTTATTCTTATTTTTCTACGTAAGCTACGAAAGAAGAGTAACTATTCTCATTCTATTTAATTGCCACTATTGTTCAGAAAGATACATGAATATGTATATGAATATGTAATTGGTTTGGTCTTTTAAAAAATACCACAAGGATTTCTGTTACCAAATGTAAATTTCACTTTGTTTTATCTGTTCTGAATCTCTGACTGCTAAATGGTTTTATTTTTATAGCTACTGTGTAGATAACTTAGCCTACTCACTTAGTCTAGTACAAAAAAGGCTAACTAGACCTAAAAAAAATAGGCAATGTAATTGCCCTAAAAATTAAAGTACAGCAGTTTTCACACCAGCTGTATTCTTGACACATAATGCGAGGCTACTCCAAGCAAATGACTACTCTGGAGCAAATTACAGAACAGAAAGAAGAGAATTGGAAAATTCTTTCTGAGTTTTGAGCTGTATAACTAAGAACTTTTAAGGAATGTCAGTTACTACATCTTTTAAGAAGTAGTGATGAAAACTTATTGCATTTCCTGAATAATAATGAGTGATAGAAAGAATTAATGGTCCAATGAGACCCAATCATTCAAAGTGGTAATTAATTCCTTAAGAAGCGCCCAAAGACAAGATACTTGTGACTTTCACAAAACAAACAACAGTGATTAAGAAGAATCAGGAATATTCTTTCTTCTTCTTTTCTGTTATATGCAGTATGCACTTTCAATTGACTGGGCACATCTATGTCTTATGTCATTAGTCAGGATGATGGCCAACCTATCCTATAGCATATTTTTTCATTGATATCATTCATGCTTTACTATGTTATCCCCACTGTGAAAAAATCTTTGTCTCTTACATTGGTGATAACTCACAGAAATCCTTTAATATTTAGAAAAATGTCCTATCACCATTATGGTTTGCGACAGTCATAGTAACCATTTAGGCCTAGGAAGATTATTTAGTCTGTTTTTATACTGGTAACGAGGATTATGGTACCCAGTTAAAAATTACACAAGGTCAAATGTATTCCTTTTTGTTGTTGTTGTTGTTTTTAACATAAATTACATGCTATACTCTGTCAGTTCTTGTAAGAGGACAACCAAAATATAAAGTCATTTCTACGGTTTTGCAAAATGAACTTGTTGATGGTATTTCTATTTTTTTTTTTTAATAGAACTTGAGAGCATTAAAATCAATATTTCATTTCTTCTAGGATAGTCAAACAAAATTTATTAAGAGGATGTTTTATATATTTATACCATATGTCTCTCTATAATGGAGAAAATAAATTCTATGGTGAACGTGGAACATTCTTGAAAAGAAGAAATTATAGCATGTGCAAGGATAAGACAGAATGAAGGAGAAATTAAATGAAATAGAAAATTACATATTTTTAAGTACTGCCCTATGGCTGTGAAGCAGAAATGGAAAAAGCATGAAAGAAAAAAAAAGATATGATGAAAATATAATAGTATACCTGTCTCTCTAGAACTTTATCTACTTACATATACATTAATCAGTTATTTAACAGAACACAAATGAAATTAAAGAGAACTGTATTAAAAATGAAATAACTAAGAATTCATGAAGAATTCATTAAAATGAACCACAAAATGAAGTATAATTTCAGTGTCAGAAGAAGTGGAGAATATATTCTATTCCATACGCCGTACTTATTAGTGGTACTACGTAATTGAAGGCAATTTGTGAGACTGAAATCCATAGCAAGCATCTGTACAACATATCAGTATCGAATGAAAGTAAAACAAACTTTAACCTTAAATTCTCTGACTCACACTTATTTTCTTGTTTTCTGCTTTGGGTGCAAATGATTGCTCAGAAATAAACAAGTCAGAGTTTTATCCACTTCCTAGTTATCAAAACAAGCAATGCAGAAAACAGAAGGAAAGTAAAACACTCCCATGATAGTATTCTCTATTGAAAAAATGGAAAAACTCCAGGAATTACTGCTTTTCTCACATAGATGGGCAAGGAGTGAATTGAGAAAAGCTGGAAAAAAAAAAAAAGTATTGTACATCTCTACACTGATGGTATAAGTGGTCACATAAGTGGAGAATCATCTGGTTCTAGGCAATAATAGATCACTTCAATTACTCCAAAGGTACATGCTACTCTTTATTTAGGCCTAGAATGAAAGTGACAGTCTACCTCAGTGTAATTTGAACTCTTCTGATATCATCACTGTTCTTTCATCTTCTTGTCACTGTATAAGATTTGGAAGAAATAAGAAACATCTTAAGTTTGTAGTTTTAGAAATGTTCATATTTTTCTCTACAAGCCAAAATTCAATCAAAGCAAAAAAAAAAAAAAAAAAATTCTCAGTTCAGGATGAGATTCTTTCTTTGAAACTTTAACATTCCTGTTTCCATACTTTGTTGTTGTTGTGGGTTTTTTTTGGTTTTTTTTTTTTTTTTTTTTTTTTCTGTTTTTAAAAAAGTTGTTGTTACTGTTATTCTTTTCTGGCAGTACCCAGATCACATGAAAAGGAAAACAATGTTAAGATTATTTTACAGAAGTGGGAAGTTTTTGTCTTTTTGCTTACAGCTATAAATTCTTTTTTTTTTTTTTTTCTCTAAGAAATTGTTATAAATCGTATTAACTCTCACTGTGAGATAAATTAAAGTTAGGTTTTCATTTACACTCTTCATACACTATTTAACTTGAGTTATCTGAATGGAATGCATTGAATGCTGACAGTCGCACGATTTCTTTATTTACATCTAAAATACATTGTGGTTTTAAGGTGAGATTTAAGATTTAAGGTGACAGTGAAACTTATGAAACTGTTTAATTGAATGATTCTGACATACTAAATACTAACTGCTGTAATTCTTTTGTAAGAACTGGTTGATTTTGGCATAATTCTGCTTGTATTGAACCAAGTTTCCATTTTTCTTACCAGCTTGCCAGATATTTTTTCTGAGATATTTCATCTCTCTGAGCAGTGAGGTAGCTAGTAAGTCACCCAGCCCCACCATTCTGAGATTCTGAGTAGCAAGAGAATCCACAGGAAAGCTCTAAGCAAGATTCAAATTATGCTACCTTTAAACTGGCATCTTTCTATGCTATATAAAGAAATGCAATTTTTTTTTTTTAAACAAGTAGTGCATTTCGTATTAAGCAGGTGTTTAAATTTCCTATCAGACTAGTTTCTGATATGTACTTAGGATATTATAAGGATGAAGGTTTACTGATTATATTTTTCATATTATGAAATATGATATAAAGACAATTTGTTCATTCATTATACATATACAAATGTACACATATAAGCATACATATACATGCATGTAACTACAGTAGAGATAGGCATAAAACTCCACAAAAGTGAACTAATCTTGATATTATTTTCCTAAAATCATCATTAGTCAATAATTGAATCATCTCTGCTAACAATTAGAAGATTTTATTCTTACAGTGAGACTAATCTTCTTTTATAAAAGCTAAAGAAAATGACTGGCTAAAATAATATATTTTCACTTTATGTGGAGCTCAGGCAGGAATTTGGCAGCCTAATTCCACAAGTATAGGAGTAAAAATTGAGTTTTCACAGCCAAGCTAGTTGTCATATCATCTTAGTTGTGATAACTTTCTAGAAGCAAATTATCAGGGCAACTGAATAGAATTCACCAAAAAGAAATGGTGATTATACTAATTTTGCATTGTCAAACATGCCATTGGCTAATGCATATATGTAAGCAGTTAGACTGGCAGATAAGAGGATAATTATTCCTTTTTTAACCTGGTATATCTAGTCTCAACTCAGTGATTCACAGGCGTACCAAGTCATCACTCAGGCAACAAAAGTTTCAGAAATATCAATTTTATTTACTTCTATTTACCCTAGTAATATTCTACATTATTCTACTTTCTGCAGTTTGCTTTTTCTTTCCCATTCAAATTTTTTTGTTACTTTGTTCCATAGAAACTCTACATTTATACACTTGAGATTCTTTTCTCCTCTTGAGATTCTTTAAGGAGAGATCAGACACACATCTTATTGACAAGAAGATTATATAAAGATGGATAAATAAACCAATTTAATATAAAAGTTCATTTTGTTTAGGATCAACATTAGACTTCATATCTGAAAATTTTTCTTCTGAGCTGTTATGAGATCTGATGTGGAATCACTACAGTCAGGTTTAAATATCAGGACACTAATAAAAATGTCATATTTTTTACCTAATATAGTTTTTATATATTTAGCTCAGCTCCCTTTTTTTCCACTTGAAGGAATTGAGATTTTTTTTTTTTTTTTTTAATTTCTTGAAGACTCTCAAAGAGAGGCAATAATCTGTTTCTTTTTGCGTTTCTTCTTTGTAATGTGTTGGATTTCAAAAGGCATCATACTCAGACCAAGCCAGTAACTTCTGCTCCTGAAATAGCTTATTAGAAATGATACTTAAAGTTTATGTTCCAAAATTGGATTTAAGCTCAAGTATCTGTAGGTCTTTAAAATGAAAAGCATGTGAAGAAATTGTGTTTATGTCATACATCCATGAACAAGTAGAGAATTACACCTAGAGCAAACATGACTTCCCCCCCTTACCTCCATTCTCTTTATGAAACTGTGTTTTCTGTAACTTCTCTCAACTGTTTTCTGATTTTGCTGACTTATGTAAATGAAAACAAGCATTTATGAGTTAATGTCAGAAAAGTGGATATTACACAATTTATTCACTACACAAATTTAGAAGCCTTTTAGAAGTCCATATCCTCACATTCATTTCTCAAGATAGAGTGTATGAAAAGGACAGAAGTTCCACGGTCTTGAATATGAATTTCACTTTAGGACGGGAAAAATAGTCTTCTGCATCCATTACTTTTAGTTCTTTAATGTTAAGAGATTACAGTAACTCCTTCTATTCACTATGCAGTCCAGTGGTTTCAAAGTTAACACAAATCCTAATTAGACCTTTCTTGAGTACTATGACCAAAAAAAAATATCTAGAAGTTAACTGAATGCAAGTTCATGAAAAAGTATTATTTGTAGCTTGAGTCTATTTGTCTTCATCTCTTTTTTTGTAATCAGCATATGATTCCTGCTAAAATAATTAAAAAATTATTACTTCTGTTCATCTTATTTCTTCAGTTCTGCTGAAAAAGCTCAGATAAAGATTTTAAATCTCAATCTCTTCAATCATTCTTCATCTTGCAATACCACCATTTCCTGTTTGCTTGTAATGTCAATCAATTCTTTGCCAGGAGATTTTTAACAGAGTTTATGCTTTTCTAGGGAATTTTGTCGTCATCGCTATAAAGATCTGAAACCCTAAACTGCATCAATTTTTCCCCCAAGCTTATACTACACTGAACAAGCCTGATTTAAGTATCTTTGAGTAAAACCCAGCCACAAATAGCCCTTAACTATTAGTTGACTAATAGTATTTTAAATAGTGATGTCAGAAAGAACTGGAGAACATTTCTCTAAGTCTATATAAAAAGGCAGCAGGAGTTAAAGAATTAATAGGTATGCATTGAAGAACTTAGTGGCTTTCACTAGTAATTCAGTACATTAGTTTGATTAAGTTAAATGTTAAGCAAACTACTTCTTGCTAATATAATAGCAAATTACAGATCTAAATGCAAGGGCAGCTACACTATCATATAGACAAAACTATATATATATATATAGTATATATAGACAAAATTCAAGATATTTCATACTAGTTGCTGCTTAAAAGCTTGATTTTTCTTTTCTTCCTCTGACAGAAGAATGAGAACAGTGCACAATATCCAAGAACTTTAATATTCTACATTAGGTGTACACTTTCTTAGAGCACAAGCAATACGGGTACTTTTATCAGAAGGGTAGGAGTGGGAAAGCATTTAATGTTACCCCAACTCATTAATATTAAGTACCTCAGCAGACATACATCTTCTATGCCGAAGCATGTCAGGTTTTTGTCACCTTCTAGCTCTTCTGCTAGGCCTTATGTTTTTTTTCTTTTGCTTCATCATTCCTCTGAATGTTTTCTCTATGTTTTCTCTTCTCTCCAGAGAAAATATTCAATAGACTTCTTCTACTTATTGTCCTCAGAAAGAACATACAGGAATAACTGGCCAATGGTCAATTTCACAATTTTATATTCTGTTAAGTTCAGTCAGGAGCTTGCTATAGAGCAGGGTTGCTGAGGAAACAAGAGTATCATCTTGGAAGTGAATAGATTTTTCAGAATAGAGTGCGATTTTTTTGTTTGTTTTATTTCTTTTTTGTTGCTTCCATTAGTGACATATTAGAAGCACAGTTAAATTATTATTAAATTATATTGTTCCAACAAATGTTTTGAGATACTCAAAAACAAGCACAATAGTGTCTAGCATTCTCTGCCTCTAAAAAGTGCTCACCTTTCTTTACATCAAAATATTAAAGCTTGAGGATTACATGTTCTGGATGTTTCCTTTGCTCAGGTGAACTTTATTACATGAGATTTTCATATATTTGATTTATGTAAAATAAAATAGATTCACCAGGAAACTACACCTGGTATGTATTGCAGTCAAAGTATGTATCAATTTAAACAGTAGTTGAATTACAATCATCAAGATCTGGACTTAGGAGGAGAAACTTTTTTCTAACTAATAGATACAATGTGATGCACTGTAACAAACAGTGCTTGAATATTCTAGGATGTCTGTCAGTGTAAGTGCAGCGTCCAAAGCTTCTCACAGCTGGTTTCAGAACAAAAACAAATGACAGCTACCTGCAGGGTGGTCCATTCCCTACATGTTTAGAAAGGCCTGAAGCTAAACTGAACATGTAAGCATGGCTCTAGGCTAAATGTAAATAAGTTTGCAAATACTGTGAAAGGACAAAACAGTATGCACATTCCTCAAGAAATTTAACCCAGTGGAAACATTGAAAATTTCTTCGCTGTCTGCACACATAAAAGTAAAAATGCTTTGTGTCTTACTCCTTATTCTGTTGCTCTTTCTGAATGTGTGTTTGAGTGCTACATGTTGTGAACCAAATTAACATACAAATTCATCCATTTACTGCCTTCCATTATTTAATTTAATTTAATTATTTAATGCCTTCCAAAAGCTAGGTATGTGCACTGATTTATGCAATATACTGTGTAAGTCTGGCCAAGGCTGGGATTTGCAGTACTCAATCCTAACTATATCATAGAGTTGGTGTACAATCAATAGGCGTACAGAGGTTAGGCTAAGTAGGATTACTACAGGAGAAAGATAATAAATGAAAAATGCTCACCAATGTTGTAGGCTCACACCAAAAAAAAAAAAAAAAAAAAAAAATCCACAGGGAGCAATCTCCAGAAACAGACCCTTCCTCAGTGGCAGTCAGCACTTCAATGGGATCCAGGAGTGGTAGAACTAGACTCCACCCCTTCCGGCAGCACAGGTGAATTGCCTTCACTTGTGCTCCCCGTGGCTGACTCACTGCTTGCCTCAGGTGGTCAATCAGAGGTTTAGGCCATTATCAATAGTTCCTATACAGTTAACATGAATCAAACACGCTGGGGTAGGTGCTCTAGCTACAAAATTTCAGGAGTTAGCAGCCAGTAATTTCCATAGGAAGGAGAAAGCTGATAAGTATACATTTCCCTGGCCTGATTCTTGACTAGGTGAAGTAATTTATTTTTTATTCCTATACGTGCTGTGAATCTAATACATGTCAGTCCCTTCAAGTGCATTGCAACAAAACTGAAGATAATCTTGTGTTGAGATTGTGTCTGTTTTATTCTCTACGTACAGACATGGAGAATGGTGATTCTGTAATCAGACTCGTGGAAATTTTGGTCTCTTCTGATAGACAATTGCCTGTATGCTATATATTACTGATAAGAATACCAATATACCAATATACCATCACCAATAATTATAGTGTGAAATGCTTGTGAATAGCAAATGTCTCCCCTATCATCATTTCTCTCTTCAGTACCTTTGAAATTTCATCTGTGTGATATGACTTGATGGTAAACCACAGACTGCGCTTAGTAAGATGGCACATTTTAAGGAGAAGGTGCCCTGGTCCTTAGCTCAGAAGTAGAGGAGGAGTCTTGAATTCATAAAGCAGGGAAAATTTCACAGCTTTATTGTCCAGGTAGGGGTTTGATTATTTAAAAGAAGAGAGACGTAAATGCAATAAAGCCAATATTAATTCAAGAAAAACATTGTGGCACAGCAATAATTAAGAAAAATCAAGAAAAATGAATAAGCACTAAGTAATGAACAAATATAGCAAAAAAAAAAAAAAAAAAAGATAAAAAAGGAAAATAAAAGAAGATTACATATGCAATGAACATAACGAATCTGAGTAACCTTTTTTTTTTTACTTAGTTTACCGAGTTTCTGGGAAAAAAAAAAAAAAAAAAAAAAAAAAAAAAAAAAAAAAAAGCAGTGCAGTTAAATAGTTGGCTTGATTCATTGCTTTTCATGGGAGTGAAAGATCTTTTCTGGGTTGTTTTGTCATTGCTGTTGTTAAAGTAGTAAGCTCAGACTATGAGTATTCTTTACTGGACAAACGATCAATAATTTTCAAAGTCTTTGGTAACAGTTGAAAATATCACTCGAATTTAATGAAATTCCCTTTCAAAGTGAGAAGAAGAATCTGAATTTTATAACAAAACTGCTTCAAAGATCCTTACTTGTGTAAATATACAAAATTTCAATGAGCATACACTTGTGTTATATAGTACATATGCATAAATCAATATTATGATAGAATAACTCACCAATAACAGATGAATTATGTATTAATGTTATAGTTCATGAATTTCTACAGGCAAAACCTCTTAGTAATTGGAAAAATGTGAAGAAGGATGCTTTTATTTCTCAGAGCTGTCAGAGGGCCTGAAATGAGGCCTTTCAAAGCTCACAATAAATAAACCCAGTGATTTTTCTGGGAAAAAAAAAAAAAAAAAAAAAAAAAAGTTTTTGCTGTTTGCTGTTGAATGAACTATTCCCTTTAGTTTTCCAGAATTTCCAGGAGAGCAATAGACCTGTTGGAGTGCATCCAGAAAGGGCCACAAAAATGATGCAAGGATGGAACACCTTCCCTACGAGGGCACAATGAGAGAGCGTGGGAAATGGTTTCAAACTAAAAGAAGGAAGGTTCAGACTGGGTATAAGGAAAATGTTTTTTAGAATAAGGGTGGTGAAGCAGTGGAGCAGGTTGCCCAGAGAGGCTGTGGGTGCCCCATCCCTGGAGACATTAAAGGCCAGGCTGGACAGGGCTGTGAGCAACCTGGTCTACCTGTGGATTTCCCTGTTTATTGCTGAGGAGTTGGGTTAGATGACCATTAAAGGTCTGTTTCAGCTCAAATGATTCTATGATAACTCAGAGTGACCTGGAGGCTGTAAAGGCAGTTACTCAAAATGAATAATTTGCTGAAGATTTATCAAAGTAATTTATCTGAGATTTGCACAGATAAATTCTCACTTCTGAGTGAGTACACCTAGACCGGATCTGCAGTGTTGAATAAACGGTGTAACTGTTCTAAGGTTTATATAATGGGCATAAATATGCACATATATGCAGATATTTTTGTGTGTATATAGACACATCGACATGCAATTCTGACGTACACAAAAAATGGAGGAAAGAAAGAGTTCCAGATATTCCAGTTCTGAATGCTGTTAAAATTTTCTTTTTAAATGAAATGCTACATAAAAAATAAGATGTTGTCTGTATCATAAGATATAATTCATACTGAATACTTGTTTAGGCTTGCTACTAAAATACTATAATAGTATTTTACATTCTAAATTATTCATTATATTAAATTCATTACATTACATTATAGTATTCTACATTCTAATTTTTCATATTAGTCAAATATAAGTAAAATATCAGAAGTATCTTTAAAAAGTGAGATTTCTTGTGGAGTAATTCAGAAATAAAAATATACATTTCAGGTGACAAAAGCAACTTCTTTGTTTGTTTGCTTGAACATACGCTGAATTATACAGCACGGCATGTCTCACATACTTTTAAGCAAATATCATCTAGAGATCTGAGCAAAGGTTCACATTTGATGGATTTTACAGGATGAAGTTTCCCAGACACTGAATTTTTATTTCTCACACATTCTTGTATAGCATCTTGGCATTAACAGACGAGTTCCTCTTGGAGATCTTGTGTACACTGCTTGTCTCACAGCACATTTGCATGTACAACTCACTAAATATGTCTTTTTTTTTAGGTATAACTGTTCAAATACATCATATGCTTCAGTGTTTTGACTTTACAATAAAAAATATGGCCATTAGAGGTATTTCAAGCACTAGACTAAATTTTTTCCCATGGTTTCAAAAATATATGTGTGTATATATAGATTAATATATACTCATGATTTTCCATTTTCTCCATATATCTGAGACCTCGAAATTCTTCATTTTTATTTGCATGAAGACACCAGTTAAAAGAGAATTAGTAAGAGCTCAACACCTTATAATAGAACTGAGTGGACTGAAGTTACGGACACTTAAGTTCACTTTTATACATACTTATTAAAGCATATAAGTTACATAGAAGGGAAATATTGACTATCTGTTCCGGAAGGCTATATACATTATGCTCCTCACATTATGGAGAAAGCTCTCTGTTTCTGTGTTGAAGGTTACTGTGTGCTTGGCACTGATGGTTGGCTTGATACCTAGTTATTATTGAACATCTTTTGCCTATGCTCCAGTATATTAGCACAAAATGAAATCAGTAACTTTTTTCCTTAGCATTGGCTCATAAACTATAGGAATCCAGGAACCAACTGTGAAATCCAGAGGTCCGTTCTTACATAAGCCATGTTTCTCTGTTAAGGGTCTGTAACTCTTCCTGAAACTTTTTTTTTGTCCATAGACACTGACTACATTTTGGACTTGTCATCTTATCCATGCTTATGACAGCCTCTACAAAATTTAAGATGAATAAGCAGCTTTTGCTACAAAACGGATTTCAGTATGACAGGGATAAGAAGTATATAAAACAATTACAAGTATGCCTGTGAGTGAGTCAGTTTCATGACTCTAATATAAAAAATCATATTTGTTAGCAAAAAAAGTACAAAAAAGTTTTAAGCATGCCCTGCCTACTATGATCTGTCCCTTCAGTGTGTTGATAGATTTGTCTTTGAACAAAACAAGCTGTTAAGCTTGAAACATCAATGTGTGTCAGTCTTGCACTTTAAAAAGCCAAAGGTATGATTTTTATTGGAGGCATAAGAGTCCTTATCTCTGAGCTATGTTGTAGTGTTTTTGATAGCCACCAAGAATTTGTGTCCTACAAAGAACTACATAAGCATTTTATTAACAATTTTTTTCTGATGAAAAAAATCTCCTCCCAGCTCATCAGCACTCCAGGAATGTATATTGTTGAATCATTTCCTGTGTTTATGGAAGGAATAGGGTGCCAGCTACTTGAATAGCATGTGAGTACCACAGCAGGCACAGACTCTAGATTGTCCCAGAATAGTTTCAAATAAATGTGGATGCCAATTAAGTGTGAGAAGGAAAAATATAAGAGGCTGAATAGACTTATGAGTAGCCAGCATATATGATTTTCCATGGTTTTAATTGCAAAATATTTCTGTATGTTAGAGGAAATGAATGAAATGAGTGAAAAAGTTGTGAGAAGGAAGAAGAAGGTTAGAACATGAAAAAGAAGTAGTCAGGAAATTGTATCATTTGTGACAGAAAAATAAAGGCTCAAACAAACCCAAAAATGTGGACTTCATGTTTAAATTATATTTATTATGTTATTTGACCAATTTAGGGAAAGGAATGAGTTGCTGGAGCTAGCCACCACCCAGCTGAAACTGTAGGAATGTCTGATAACACTGACATCCCATATTTCCTCATAAGCCTTCTCTCTTGTTCTTTCATGCCTGGGACAAGTTTCCTTCTCAGCTGAGGCTGCAGAAGTTGTATTTTACTAAACTACAAATCTCACACAGTTTAGGAAAGGACTTTCACTTTTCCAGTTATCCTTGTCATTCCAGTGGCTCTTGCTACCTGTTAGAAGATTCCAGGGACAAATTCCTAACTATTAGAATTGCCCCACATTTTCAGCAGAAATTCCCAGATGAGATAGTACAAGGATATTTGTGCTGTAAACTAAATCTTTGAGAACAGTGCTAACAATGCAAAGCTTCAGTCAAAAGAGGCATTCCAGTCATGTAGCACAGCAATGCTGACATAACAAAACCCACAGAACTTGAAAAATACTATATTTTTTTCACTAAAAACAGAAGAAAATTCAAATAAAAATTTTTAAATTGTGGTTT